AACCCGCTGCTCTAGGATATTCGATTGCAAAATTATAGTCAAGAGATCCCGAAGGCGCTGATTTTTGCCTTATCCTCAAGGTGTTTAAGGTATGTCTGTCATAAGGAAGAATCGTGTGCCAGTGAGCAAAGTCTTTTGAACTCGGAGAGAGCTCCAGTTCTCGCAGGACCCCACCGGCCGCGGGTTCTGCGCCGCTCCGCAAGCACCAGAGAAGCGGGCCCGAGGGATTCTAGGGTTTAGGGTTGTGGGTTTAGGATTTAGGGTTTTGGGTTTAGGGTTTAGGGCTAGCCCTAAACCCTAAACCCGAAAGAGACTCTTGCAACTTGGAATATCCTGCATCCCACGCTCCATTTGGGCTTAGGAGACAAAGCCCTGCACTTTGGGATGTTCCCCCTTACACTAACAGCTAGGATGCCCAGTAGTGCCCTTATTCCCTTTTTGGGGGCTCTAGGTTCCCCTATAAACCCCTTTAAGCAAAAAAGGGCACCCTTTTTAATCCCAGATTACTGGGCAACCTGGACAGACCTTAATAGGGATTGTCATAGGGGGTACTACAAAAGGGCTGTTTGTTATGAGGGGGGGAACATCCCAACCTACACTGTTCCGCAATTTGCTTTATAAGCCACAACAATGAAAGACAATGATCCCTATATTGCCTTATAAGGAAGAAGGTTGTTCATTTGTTGTGGGGGGGGGGGGGGGGGGTTCTTAAAATATCCCCTAATCTACCTTGAAAGGAAGGATATTGTCCCTTCTTTGCAGGGCTTCTTAAACAAACAATAGTTTTGGTGTAGGGTGTCGGGCTTACCGGTTTGGGCTTACTCGTTTTGATGGTTTTTTTGACAGCTGGCGCCTCGACCATAGCTCATTAGGGGCTTAAGGGAGGGGGCTTCAAGGGTTTAGGGTTCAGGGTTCAGGGTTCAGGGTTTAGGGTTTAGGGTTTAGGGTTTAGGGCAGGTACTTAGGGAGCCTTAGGGAAGCTTAGGGAGCCTTAGGAGTAGTGGGGAGGATTTGGGAACCTTGGGTTGCATACCCTCGTCCCTTAAGGGCCCTATAAGCTCAGCACGCTGAAGCCATCTAGCGCTGCTAAGGTCAAGTGCCTCAAGAAAGACACGTGCGCCTGGCATGTCGTTTACCGGGTTTGGGGTTTGGGTTTTCGGGGTGAAGTCGGACAAGGCGAATGGACCACCTGAACAGTTATTGCACAGCCAGACTGTTTGCCTGCGCCAAGACGAGGTGACTATCACCACCTTATCTACCGGTAAACCCACAAGCACTAAACCCGCTAAACCCTAATTATAAATGAGACCTGCAAACCCTACAAACCCCTATAAACCCCGAAATCCTACTCCCTAACCGCAGTGCGAAGCGAAGCATCGCTTGCACCAAGATCACCTCAAATGCCCCCATGGTTGGCATTACTACACCAGTAGCTAAACGCCCGGCTTCTGCACGCTCAAACCCTCTTCACCCCCCCACCCGCTAGCGTTCCTAGCGTCGCTTGACTCCAAAATTTGTCCAGCTGATGCTCATGATGCGCACCCTACTCCAAGAACCGTAAGCATGACGAGCATACCCTAGACTTATGCCCCGAACCCCTTGATTGCGCATTTCTGCCTGTTCCGGGTGTAGCTGCCAGGATGAGCGCGGCGGGCATCGAGGAGCTTCAGGAAGAGTTCCAGACGCCCGGGCACCCGAGGGTTCAGGGTTTAGGATTTAGGATTGACGATTTAGGATTGAGGGAAAAGGGTTTAGGATTTAAGGGTTTTGGTTTCAGGGCTCAGGCTTTAGGGCTCCGGGTTCAGGGTTTAGGCCTCTTTATGTTCTTCTTGGGGAAATCATGTAGAAGCCTTTGGATTTCCAAGTCGAACCATGCTCAGAATGTTTACCCCTCCCCCGTTGCAATCATTTTCTTGGAGACCCCTGAAGAGAACTGCAATCAATTTAAGTCAATGCCCCCCGTTGGAACGCACACCATGTGGCCCCTTGCAATCATTTCTGGGGGACGGAAATGATTGTGGAATTTCGCAATCATTCAGCCCCCTCCCCCCCTCGCAATCATTCTCTAGCGGCAATCTCTCCCAGCTTGTGAGGGAGGGCGGGCTTCGGAAGCAGCGAGCGGATACGAACCAAAATGCCGCGGCCACACGCAGCTTTTCAGACTCCCGGCTCATGAGGCCGGCCTTGATGTGTGGGCGGGAGTGCTCGTGGCGCACGGGGCGTCTTACTTGGCCCAGAAAAAATGATACTATGGGATTTCCGCACTCCTGGGTAAAATGCAGCTTGACTCTGAAAAACCGAAGGCTCCGCAACGGGACCTACATCCTAGACTCTATTTGTAAGGTTTTTCTGCCGGTCGAGGCAAGCGAGGCGAAGTCACGAAGCCAAAACCCTCAAAAGCGCATAACAATAAAAAAACCACTGAAGGCTTGCAAGGTGCAGGGTTTAGAGCGTTTGGAGGGTTGAGAGTTGTCAGGGTCCAGGGTTTAGGGTTTAGGGTTTAGGGTTGATCTGAGATGGTGGCCCCTGTGTGGACTAAACCCCTAAGCTTAGACCCTAAACCCTCAACCCCTAAACCCTAAACCCTAAACCCCGACGACCCTAAGCCCCTAAACCTAAACAAGCATATGGGTGGTTGTCAAAATTATGGTCCCTTTTTTGGATCCCTATTATAATACGGCACCTAATATTTAGGGTACCCCAAAAGGGATCATAATTTTGACAGCCACCCATATGCACTGGGCCGAGGCTTCAGCTACTGGCGCACGACAACATCGCCCAGGCACCTCCGCTTTCAGGGCTTCAAAAGCTTCCAAGGCTGTAGGGCTTAGGGGTTTAGGGTTTAGGGTTTGGGGTTTAGGGTTTAGGGTTTAGGGTTTAGGCACCCACCAAGGGGTTCGGGGTTTCGGTTTAGAGGGGCTCTAGGGTTTAGGGTTTCGAGGGTTTAGGGGCTGCGGGGTTTGACGTTTGAGGATGCTATTCCTTAAGCTACGTGAAGCACCCTATCAGGGTTTTACTTGGAGGCTCATTGGTACTTCTAACCCCAAGTAGAAGTCTACTTACAACTTCGCAAACTTATAAGTACAGTTATGGTCGGGGTCCGTCATTACTTCCAATGAACCTCCGAGTAGGGGAAAGGCTTCAGGGAAGAGGGTTTGGAAGTGCGGGGTTGTAGGGCGTCCAGAATGTGCACCTGCTGGGTTTCGGGCTTAGGGTTTAGGGTTTAGGGTTTCGGGTTTAGGGTTTAGGGTTTAGCGTTAGGGTTTAGGGTTTAGGGTTTAGGGTTTAGGGTTTAGGGTTTAGGGTTAACTCGAGCTAGGCCCGGGATGCAGCAGCGAAGTTGCCTTGCTTCCCCATCTGCTGTCCAGAAGCCACGAGACTCTGGGGGTTCTTAAGGGCAGGGGATTCAGGGAGGGTGTGTAACCCAAGGTCCCCCAAGACTCCCCGGCTACTCCCTAAGCTTCCCTAAGGTTTTGTAGCTACCCCCCTTTAAAAACCCTCCCTTAAGAACCTAAACCCTAAAGCCTAAACCCCCTCCCTTAAGAACCCTATAAAGAACCCTCGGGAAAGCTTTAAACCCCAAACCCTTAAACGATGACGCTCCTCAGCCTTTGCATCCTGAGCTCAATTAGGGTTTAGGGTTTAGGGTTTGGGGTTTGGGGTTTAGGGTTTGGGGTTTAGGGTTTAGGGTTTAGGGTTTAGGGTTTAGGGTTTAGGTGGGTGTAGGGTGTAGGGTTTCGGGGTTGAGGGTTTCAGGGTTCAAGTGCTCGCTGCTTGCCGCTTACTGATCTCTGCCTGTCCTCCACCGCTCCGCATCCTGCGTGCGGAAGCGCACTTGCCAGGATCTAGCCCTAGACCCTACACCCTAAACCCTAAACTTAGGGATTCTAGGGAATATGTTTCGAATTTTTGGGCACTGTAATTCCTAAGAAACAGCCCAAATTGTCATTGTTTCCATGTTCAGTGTAGTAAACCCCAAACAAAACACACCCTAGACCCTGGACCCCAGCAACACTTCCTGCGCAGGTTTTTGAAATCTTTCAGGACAACCAGCCCGCGACTCAGGAACTGCTCTTTGTAACCTTTGCGGTTGTTTAGGTGGTGAAAGACGCAGCAGACCCCACCCTACAGCCCGAAAAGCCCTCAAGCCCTAAAACCCTAAAGCCCTAAAAGCCCCAAAAGCCCTAAAAGCCCTAAAAGCCCTAAAACCCAAAAACCCTAAGCCCTAAACTACAAAAGAAACCCTTAAAAAAAAAAAAAAAAAAAACCTGAAACCCCCAAACCCTGCACTGTAGGTTCTACAACAAACAACCCAAAATCCAAACCCTACAAGAACCCAAGCCCTAAAAGACTCCAGGGCCTAAAACCCTAAGGCTCTAGAACCCTAAGCCCGAAAGCCCTAAAAAAAACTTAAGCCCTGAAAGCCCTAATTACACCTTGAACCCGACTTTAGGTTCCCCCCTCCGGAGTTTGACGTGGAGGGTTTAGGGTTTAGGGTCTAGGGTTTAGGGTTTAGGGTTTAGGGTTTAGGGTTTAGGGTTTAGGGTTTAGGGCTACTCCTTCCGAGGTTCTACTACATGGTGGGGGAGCCGTACCATGGTGGGGACTTCATGATGCTCACGAAGCGCGCGAAGGAGCAGCAGGTGCCCATGACAGAGGCCCCCCCCTTTGCCGGAAGGGGTTTGGGGTTTAGGGTTTAGGGTTTAGGGTTTAGGGTTTAGGGTTTAGGGTTTAGGGTTTCGGGTTTAGGGTTTAGGGTTTGGGGTTTGGGGTTTAGGGTTTGGGGTTTGGGGTTTGGGGTTTGGGGCGTAGGGCTTAGGGCTTAGGGCTTAGGGCTTAGGGCTTAGGGCTTAGGGCTTAGGGTTTAGGAGGGGGGCGGGGGTGTTTGGGGTCTAGGTGTGGGCTACCTGATTCCCCGACACCAACCACTTCCTCATCAAGCTCGAGTACACGTTCCAGGGGAAGCGCATCCGCGCGATAGCCTTGTGCCAGTGGACGAAATGCCTCCTGAATTGGTCGTGCCTGCGCTGCCTTCCTCGAGCAACAGCAGTCTGAGTACCGACAGCTGGCTCGAGCGTGAGTCCTTGTATCATCGCAGGTGCATCAGATTTTTGCTTCGCTTCTGCAGTCAGCTGGCAGAGAGGATTGCACTTTTGGAAGAAGCGGCCCTTCTCCGGGCAGTTCTGACCTCTTGGCGCAGCTGCGGCGGTACCTGTACTGAGGCTTAGGTGTAGTGTCAGGGGCGTTACCCGCCTCGAGGCCCCACCCTTGGCCGGAAGGGGTTTAGGGTTTGGGGTTTAGGGTTTGGGGTTTGGGGTTTGGGGTTTGGGGTTTGGGGTTTAGGGTTTAGGGTTTGGGGTTTAGGGTTTAGGGTTTGGGGTTTGGGGTTTGGGGTTTAGGGTTTGGGGTTTAGGTTCAGGGTTTGGGGTTTGGGGTTTGGGTTTTTGGGGTTAGGGTTTGGGGTTTGGGGTTTGGGGTTTGGGGGGGGGTTTAGGGTTTAGGGTTTGGGGTTTGGGGTTTGGGATTTTGGGTTTGGGGTTTGGGGTTTGGGTTTGGGGTTTGGGGTTTGGGTTTGGGGTCTGGGGTTTAGGGTTTGGGCTTGGGGGTTTGGGGTTTAGGGTTTAGGGTTTGGGGTTTAGGGTTTAGGGTTTAGGGTTTCGGGTTTGGGGTTAGGGGTCAGGGTTTAGGGTTTAGGGTTTAGGAGGGGGGCGGGGGTGTTTAGGGTCTAGGGTTTGCGGGAGATTGTTTTGGTGAACTTTTCACTTTTTGGGGCACGGAGAGGTTTCGGGAGAATAGAACGGCTGTACCCTTGTTTGGGGTTTCGATTTTTTAGGGTTTAGGGTTAGCACTTGTCAAAATCTCCTTAGGGATATGGGTTTGAGGTTTGGGGCAGAGATACACAGGAGCCAGCTGGGGTCGTTTGCCATATCCACGAGCTGTGCGTCCGACACTCTTCTTGAGGTTCCTCGGCAAGTCGCGAAGCTTTAAATGTTTGGGGGGGGGAGGGGGGGTATCGACTTACTTGAATATTCCCGAAAGACCGTCAAAGCCTCGAAAAAGAACCCTCTAGACCCCTTTAGCCCTATTAGCCCTCAAAACCCCCCAAACCCCTAATGGCCATTTAAACTTTCAAAAACCCTTAAAGCCCCAACCAAAGCCATCAAAAACCCAAAACTCGAAACCCTTTAAGCCCCCCCCTAAAACCCGCAGTAAGAGGACTGGTGGCGGGGCATCTTCCGGCAATGCGCGGAGGTTGCCTCCGGGCTTGGCAGTTGGGAGACTCTTTGGGGGACTAGGGCTTAGGGTTTAGGGGTTTAGGGTTTAAGGTTTACGGGGCTTCGGGCTTAGGGTCTATAGAGCTTCGGGCTTAATTACTAATAGTATTCCCTTATGGTTCCTTTATACTTATACTATAGTAACCCCCGATACCCTATTCTAATTATTAAGGCCCCTGGGTTATTCGGGGGCGGGGGCGGGGGGTTGGGGGGGCTCAGGGCTTGGGGTGTGGGATGTCTGGGTTTGAAAGGTGGACTGCGAGGCTGCCTTTAGGCGGGGTGGGGGGCTGAGGTTTTTGGTTGTTGAAGGGCTTGCGGCTTTGATGATTGTGCGGCTTCTTTTGAGGGTTTAGGGCGTAGGGCTGAGTATTTCGTAGAGGAGGTTAGTTAGCAAGTTAGGGAAGCGGGGGAGGGCAGGGGGGGGGGGGCCTTGGCGTGGTTCTCGAGCTACGCCCTAAACCCTAAACCCGAAACCCTAAACCCTAAACCCTAAACCCTAAAACCCTAAACCCTAAACCCTAAACCCTGCAGAGGCCCTCGAGTTCATGCATGAGCAGTCCATGATGCACTGCGACATCAAGGCTCCCCGAGCGGCTTCTTGACCCCCGGGAGGGCAAACCCTTTAGGGTTTAGGGTTTAGGGTTTAGGGTTTGGGGTTTGGGGTTTGGGGTTTAGGGTTTAGGGTTTAGGCTTTAGGGTTTAGGGTTTAGGGTTTAGGGCTCCCGGGTCGAACTAGGGTTCCGAGACACTCCCCCCCCCCCCCCCCAACATTCGGGGGGGCCTTTTAGCCATACTTGTACCACAACTCTCACATTCGTGTCCACGCTAGCTTTCGGCAAGATTTCAGGAGCCCAACATCATGATCAAGTCGCGGGACTTCCGGAAGCCCGAGGCGTTGCGGGGTTTAGGGGAAGGTCGGTTTGGAATGCGCTCTATCCGGTTGCTAGGATGTTTTTGTGGGTGGCTATAGGGGGAAGCTATGAGAAACTCCGTCTAGAGCGTTTTGTAGTTGCGAATATCGCCTAGACCCTCAACTCGGTCTAGCATTTCCCCAAGACAGGGGGTTACTTTCGATGGCGCAAAACTACACTTATTTTCTCAGGTTTGTTAAACCTGAAAAGCCCCAAAACCCAAATCCCTAAACCCTAAACTCTTGACTTTTGAGGGGACGTATGTGTAAGGAAAGCGCATATTGAAAGAAGGAACCACCCCCCCCCCCCCCCCCAAAAAACCCTAAAGACTAAACCCTAACCCCTAAGTCCCACTAGCCCCACTAGTCCCACTAAGGGCCTAAGCCTGATCGCCTGTGACAGCTTGAGCCTACAGCCGTAAGCCCCAAGGCTAAACCCTAACCCCAAACCCTAAATCTTGAGACCGCCAAGCCCCCGGAAAAAAAAGAAAAAAAAAAAAAAAACACGCACACACACACGGAGCAAACCCCTAAAGCCTAAACACCAAACCCGCGAAAGCCTCAAACCGCAGACCTTGAAAGCCCAAAACCCTGCGATCCTGCAACTCGAACTCAACAGCAGAGAATCTCTACGAAACCCTAAACACTTGGGAGCCCAGTGGTACCATTTGCCCTTTTCTTTTGCTTATGGGTTCCCTTATAAAATAACAAAACCGCAAAAAGGGTGCCCTTATTATGATATGGTTACTGGCCTACCAAGAACCCTACCCTAACCCTAGACCCGAAACCCTCAACCCCCCAAAACCGCCCTGAGAAACACCCTCAACCCCCCAAATTCTAAACCCTCATCCCGAAACCCTAAACCCACCCCCCCCTAAACCCGAAACCCTAAACCCGAAACCCTAAACCCTAAACCCCCCAAAACCCCCCTTAGAAGAAGCAGCCGCCCCCAGGTGGTCGTCATCGACTTCGGTGTGTGCAGGGCCATGGTCACAGCCTCGAACGGCAGCTCGGCTAAGGGGTTTAGGGTTTAGGGTTTAGGGTTTAGGGTTTAGGGTTTAGGGTTTAGGGTTTAGGGTTTAGGGTTTGGGGTTTGGGGTTTAGGGTTTAGGGTTTAGGTTCAGGGTTTAGGGTTTAGGGTTTAGGGCTTACATTTGTTTGTTTCCTTCCTTTCCTGACAAGGGAACCTCTTCAGTTCTAACTTTCAAAGGGCTTGAAGCACAATTCAGTTAAACCCTGAAGTGCAGGGTCCAGACGTGGTAGCCCAGCGATACCCGAAGCCCTAAAGCCTAAGCCCTTTTTGGTTCGAGGTTCTTCTCTTAAGTAGCCAAGCCCCACACAGGGGACCCTTGTTGTGATACGGTTATTGCGCTACCGGTTTAGGGTGTAGGGTTGAGGGTTCAGGGTTTAGGGTTTAGGGTCTAGGGTTTAGGGTTTAAGGTTAGGCACAGCGGCAGACCTCTCTAGCCGCTAAGAATGCTCCGCCTTCGCCTCCTTTCCGCGGCCACCTTGCTTGGGGCGTTGCAAGGTGAACTGCGCCCGGGAAACGACGCCTGCAAACCATGTGCCAAGAATGCTTCCAGGCCTGCTCCAAAGCCACCTTGGTGGTGGAGCCATTATCTGCGCAGGTCACAGCGGTGACGGCTACCCCCATAGGCACGAGCTGTGCCTGCCCGACCATGACCCTAAGGTGCAGTCGAAGCACCCACGAGTTTCCCAACGCCCTGCTCCTGACACGCAGCAGCCGGGTGGTGTTTACTTCCTCGCCTTCTACGCCTTCAGAAAAGAGGAAGGGGGCAAGACGACGTCGGTCTTGGAGGCAAGGCTAGTGACCGGCCTGGCAGGCCACGCCACGACATGCTCAGGCGCCTACAAGGTGACCCAAGGCAGCTGTTTTGGCCTCAATGCCTCTGCATCCGAACTCCCGGCGCAGGCCGCACCATTGCCACCCGGTCGCGACCACATGCCCGGTGGATTTGGGGCCATGTTCCTTCTGGTTGCGTTGGCTGCCGTTTACTTCTGCCGCAACCGCGCAAAGGCGTCACGCCGCAGGCTCACGGAGGGCCAGGACGTTGAGATGAGTAGCACCTTCAATCAGTTCTGAGCAGCCCGAGGCTTGAAAAAAGCGGCTCTCACGTAGGCACAGATCTCTGTGTTTCTGGTCAAGTCCGTCTCCGAACCTAGACCCCCTAGGCCGCCAAGCCTTTGAAGCCCTGCATTATCACCGTACAAACAGCGCTGAACCTTAAGCCCTGAACCCCCACAAAAGGCGAAGCTCTGTATTTCCTAAATCACTTTATAAGGAGTACTCCTCAATTCACACTTGCCACCAGAGCTCCGGATGTCCTCCAAAAAGCCTACTAAAAACATCCAAAATCGAACACAGTAGCGAACCCTGACGTCCAAAAGGACGACAGTTCGCATTTGGCGAACCCCGCCGTCCAAAAGCGGCAGTTACAAATCTTCACGACCCCAGACGTCCGAAAGCGACGACAGTTACGAGGAGGGCGACGTCGATGCGCACGGTGCCTAGTGCAAATCCCCTTCAGTCTGGCTTCAAAGAAGCCAAAAGCATGTACTTCGCGGTGTTTCGAGCAATCCATTCGCATGTCTGCGCTGCGGCAAAAGTTCGCATTTCGTCCCAAATGCGGCTACCGTTTGAGGAATGTCGTCCGCGATTCTTCACGCGCTCCGCGCGAGCAACTCAATCTAACTCTCTCGTACCTGGACGTTCCCAAGAACCCATAGTGTTGGCAAGCTGTTTGCGGAGAAAAGCCCTCAAACACTTAACGCCCCGAAACTCCCCAACCCCTACACCCCAAAACCCTACACCCCCAAACACCCCAAAGCTCCGGATCCTAAGCCTCTAAACCGTAACCCCCCTCATCATCTCTTAGGGTTTGAACCCAAAACTTCGGTTAAGGGTTTAGGGTTAGGGTAGGGCTGTTCGTTGCCCCAGGCATGCCCGGCGGAACGCCGGGTCCTCAGAGTTCGAGCCGACGGTCGGACTCATCCTTTGGGGTGTTGGGGGCGTAGGGTTCAGGGCTTCGGGTTTAGGGGTTAGGACTTGGGGCTTCGGGGTGGGGGTTAAGGGCTTGGGGGGTTCGGGTTCTGTGTTTTACGGCTTGAAGATTAGGGTGTGTTGGGTTATAGGAGTGAAGAGGGGCAACATCTAGGACCGAGTAGGCCCTTGTATTTCCTTTTTTTAGGCTTGGGGTTCCCTTACAATCCCCTTAAAACAAAAAGTGCCCTTTTTGTTGCTAGATTTCTCCTGGGTCTAGTAGCCCTAAACCCTAAATCCTAAACCCTAAACCCAGTCCGAGGCCAGGCTACATGCCTCCCGAGACCATCCAGCAGCGGAAGTGGTTCCCGCGAGGCAAGTTGAGACCGCGGAGAGGATGATGGCGATTTGGGGCCTTGGAGTTCGGGCTCAGGGCTTAGGGCTTCGGGTTTGGGGTTTAGGGTTAGGGTTTAGGGTTGAGCCTTTTGGGGGTTGGGGTTCAGGGTTTGGGGTTTAAGGTTCAGGTTTTAGGGGCGGTTCCCAAAGCCTGACATTTAACCCTGGGATATCATTGGGTCAACATAGGTGGAACAGTTACCAAACTATGCGGTTCGGGACAACTGCATTTTTTGAGCCTAGCTAATGGGGCTTAGGGGTCTGGATGTAAGAGAGGCAGGTCACTTCTCTTGGTCGACCCTAAACCCTATATCCTAAACACCCTACACACCCGAAACCCTAAAGCGACATTTGGCCGGGCCGCACTGTGATCGAAGAGAGACGCGAGCCTGCAGCCGTCAGCCTGACTTCATTGGGGGCCCAGGGCCCTTCATCAGGATTTAGGGTTTAAGTTTAAGGTTTAATTAGGATTTAGGTAGGGTTTAGAGTTTAGGGTTTATGGTTTAGGGCTTGGGCTTTAGGGGTTGGGGTCTAGAGTCCTTCTCAAGAGATGAAGACCCGTACCTCCCAAGGTTGTACCCCTAAAGGTTCCCCTTAATATACTCCTAACATGGCCTTTTCTGCTCTTAGGGATCCTCAAGAAGGGACCCCCAAAACCCCTAAACCCTAAACCCCTAAACCCTAAACCCCTAAACCCTAAACCCTAAACCCTAAACCCAAGGGTACAACCTTCAGGGCCCAAGGTGGAACCCCTAGACCTTCGGGTTTAAGGCTTTGCTGCAGTGGCGCGCAGGCGATGTGTTCTGCTTGGGCGTCACCTTCATCCAGGCGCCCCGGGGTGGTGGGGTGTAGGGTTTCGGGTTTAGGGTTTAGGGTTTAGGGTTTAAAGTCTAAGGTTTAGGGTTTAGGGTTGTAGGAAGCTGGGCAGATCCAAGACAGGTGTGGCTTTCGTAATCTTGCCTTTGCCGATACTTGAACCTTTGAAAGCTGACTCTGAAACCCGAAACCCTCAACCGAAACATTAGCGAACTACAGGGATCAAGGTTGTGAATCGGGCTTAGGGTTGAGGGTCTTCAGAACCGCCCTAAGACAGGAACTATTCTTCCTTATAAGGGCAGTAAGGGGATAGTTATCTTGTGTTTTTGTGGCAGGTTCTTAAGCAAGTAGCAGCCCTAAACCCAAAACCCTAAACCTTCAGGGTGGAGGCAAGCAGATCGTGCGCCACGCCTAGATTTTCGGCTTAGGGCTCAAAGGTTTGGGGCTTAGGGTGGAGGGTTCCCTAAGCAAACCTCTTTTTGAGGGTTTGGGGTTTCGGGTTTAGGGTTTGGGGTTTAGGGTTTAGGGTTTAGGGTTTAGGGCAACTGCAGCCCCCAGGTGCTCTTGGACAAGAGCCCACCAACCGGGCCTCGAACCACCGCCACGCCAGGCCGCGGGGGGGGTTAGGGGTTTAGGGTCTAGGGTCTAGGGTCTAGGGTTTAGGGTTTAGGGTTCGGGGTGGGGAGCCACTTTCTCTTGCCTTTCTTGAGGTTTAGGGTTTAGGGCTGGCAGGTTTAGGGTTTAGGGTTTAGGGTTTAGGGTTTAGGGTTTAGGGTTTAGGGGGTTTCAGGGCTTAGGGTTTTGAGGGTTGAGGGTTTAGGGCTGGTGGGGGGGGGGGAGGCTAAACCCCTAAACCCCTAAAGCCTAAAGCCAAAAACTAAAGCCTAAAGCCTAGACTTTTTTGGGTTTTGGGTTCAAGGCCATCTTCCTTCCTTGAGGGATTTGTTGGAACCATTCTCAGTTGGGCTTGACTTCAGGGATACTGGGAGGGGAGAATACCTCGGGGGGTGGGTTTACGGCTTAGGGTTTCGGGTGCAGGGTTAGTTGGGCGAGACTGGACGTCTTCAGGCGGCATCTTCGTGGAAGGCTGCCAGACCATCCAGGAGATTTGCACCGAGTTGTTTCTTTTCTGGCCAACTAGGGACTGGCGGGCGCGGGTTTAGGGTTTGGTGTTTAGGTCTCTCTCACCAACTCTCCCCCTCTCCCTCTCCCTCCTCCCTCTCCCTCTCCCTCTCCCTCTCTGAAGGTAGTGGAGTCCGAAAACTAGAGACACGTGTAGATTCGACCGTGGTCTTCCTTGAGCCTTCCGGCCCCCCTATATGAACCCTCTATACCTGACCTCTAGGGCTCAGGGTCTGCGGTAACAAGGCAGCATCTACAGAAGGAGTCCGATGATCCGTATCATCCCCCATATCAAAACTTCTACGTGCTTAAGAGCCCCCAAAAGCATAAAGAAGAATAATCGCTACATTACCCTTATAAGGAAGACTTCTTTTTTTGTTGGGAGGGGGGGGTTCTTAAGCAATGAGTAGAAACTAGAAAGGAATCAAGCCAGAATGTTCCGCCTCGATATTGACCCTGGGCTTCCAGGACCCATCAGATCTCCTTCCTGCTTCCTGTCCGATCCTCCTACTAGGGTTTAGGGCCAAAGTTTAGGGTTTGGGGTTTAGGGTTGAGGGTTTAGGGTTTAAGGTTTAGGGTTTAGGGTGCTTAGGGCCCTTCAATCCCCAACACTTCCAGATCCTCCAAAGCAGACGAAGCTGTAAACAGCGCCACCGCATCTCCTGCGGAGGACATTTTCAATGCCACCGTGACGCGCCTGACCCTCAGGCTTTGAAGTATGTGAGGTTCAGCAAAGCCGGCCCTTTGCGAGTCGATGACTTGGAGGTTCATGTAGATTCGGGTTTAGGAAGTTTAGGAGGTTAAGGAAGTTTGGGGCATTTTTAGGGTTCGGGGTAGCTCTTAGCAGCTTAATTCTTAGAACATAATTAGGTCAAGTACCTGGGACACACCTAAACCATGAGATCCCCCCCCCCCACTTGCTTCTAAGGGGGAGCAGAACCCCTTTAAGGACCCCTTTCTACTCCCCAAACCTACCCCTTGGAGCAAATACCAATGGTCACTTCCAGCGCTCGCACGCTAAGGGTGCCGCACGCAAGCGAACTTTACACCTCAACTCATTGAGCTCGCCCTTTAAGGGGGCCTTGGGATATGCTGTGTGTCTTCCTGCCGGGCTTAAGAGCCTAATATGCAGGATGCTAAAACCCCAAACCCCTAACCCCTGAACCCCAAGCCCTAACCCCTTAAACCCCAAACCCCGAACCCTTCAACCCGAAACCGCTAAACCCTAAACCCTGGACCCCTGAACCCCCAAAAGGGCTTCAAAGGGGCCAGCTCAGTTGGCGCCAGCCCAGCAAAATGCCCTCTACACACCGGTGCCTGCGCTGGACTTTGGGGTTTAGGGTTTAGGGTTTTAGGTCTCCTACAAGAGCTTGGGGTATAGGGTTGAGGGTTTTAGGGGCTGTTTGCCCAAAAAGACACAAGTATTCTTCCCTATAGGGGTGCGAATGGGTTTATGTTCGAGCCCGAAACCCTGATCCCTAAACCTTCAACCCAGACAGCTACATGTTCTGGGGGGGGGGGGGGGCGGGATTCTTAAGCAAAGGGTCGTTTTTTGGAGTTTAGGCACTTGGGTTGAGGCATGGGGCCCGGCTTCGAAATTCCGACCTTGGCAGTCTTGATTCCTCACAAGGCTTCAAGCCCTTCAGGGATGACTACTATTTGCTTAAGCACCCCCAAAAAATTTCAAAAGAGCAAAAATAATCATCCCTATACTACCCTGATAAGGAAGAATATTTTTTGATTTTTCGGGGGGGTTCTTAAGCAACTGG